CAAACTTTTATAAAAACTATGTTTAAATCATTCCATTTTAAACTTAAAGAATCATAGTTGGTTTTATATTACATGTGAGAATAACTATCTATTAAAAAAATGATTGCAAGAACGATTAGTGGACAAATAACTGCATATCACTTGTAATGTAACTGCTTACACGTATCAGAAGGCAATTCAGAAGCATTTCAGGGCCGAAAGAACTTTAGACGCTTCTTAATTTCACTTTATGAGATACTTTTAATTGCTAATTTGGTTCCGAAGTATTAAAAATATATTATGATTATAAAGTAGTTGCTAGTGTGGCGGTACAAATCATGATTTTTGCAAAATTCTTCCATACTTCCATTTTAAACTTAACGAATCGTAACCATTCCTATATTAAATGCAAGAATAACCCTCTATCAAGTAGAAATGATTGTTGGAATAACTAGTGGACGGATAACTGCACATTAGTTACAAACGGATCGGAAAGCAACTCAAAAATACTACAGTGTCACATGCACTTCAAAAGCTTCGAAATAAGACGGAAAAGGCTTCTGAATTTCACTTAGGACATTCARAAGTTCGATTTTTCCAAGCACTTCTCTTCATAAAATCTGTAGAGATTTTGAGGTGCTACCCCAAGCCCAACAAGGGTGCTCCCGGTCAGCGGAACCAACGCTAGGGACGCTACCCCTTCAACCCTGCAAAGGAGCACGACCCCTTGACCCCGTCATAAGACGCTATCCATAGATCCTAGGTTCTGGTTAGCTTACATGAGTGTGTACTCCATATAACTGATATATAGTTTAACTACCAACCACATATTCTTTTATGAATACAATTACGTAAAATGAACCAATTATTTCACTATAATTAATCCCCAACAATAATCACCAACAGTCCAACATGACCAAGGGCCAAAACTGGATACAGATCCACATGAAAGAAATACTAGATGCAATAGATCTGTGGGTGCAAGAAAAAATGACCAAAGGAAAAATAACCCTCAAACTCGGCAAGAGCCACATATATCTTATACTATAAACATACACCGAAAATAAAGCCCAACTTTGGGAAAATTAAAGGATAGCAATTTTTTGAATGATAAATTTCTTGATCCTAATGTTGTGCAAGATTTCATCCCATCTCAAAAGAAAACACATGCAAAGAACCGATAATCAACAAATATCATGCCTCCACGTACAAATACCTACAGTCGAACATCCGGACATCGAAACCCTCTTTTGGCTTTATGAGATGTTTACTAATTATGTTCTATATGGATAAAATTAACTGTCTAGATAAAAATGTGTTGTTATTTACCTTGTTTCTTGAATCAACAATCTGAAAATGATC